TTTGATGAAACTGATTTGATTCATAATATTTAGTTTGTATAAGTATCGTTCGATTTAAAGTTTGTATTTTTGTATCTTTTGTATATAAATATATTGTAAGGGAAACCGACTTGTTGAATATTTGAGAAACTCAGTGCATTGCTTTATTGATTTTTATTCATATACAATAATACCACTATACTAGCTATATATATGTTTCAACATGAATACACTATATATAGCAGAAGACTGATTGAGCTAGGAAACATATTAACCAACAAAACCCACATTAAGGTCAATGGAATATACAGGGTTGCATACAGAGAATAAAACTTTGCAGGGTACTATAAGACTATATAAGAAGAAAATCTGCATGGACTGCAACTATTCGGAATAGGAATGCAATTCTATATAGAAGCAATATTTTAAAAAGTTTTAAAAATTGTTCTGCCTTGTTTTAAAATCGAAATATTTACTAACGCAAGCGAAAAATAAATTTCTTCAAGATTCATCGAATTGGGTATTATTAAAGATTCTTTGTGAAACACTGCATTTATACATCATAAAATCATTTAAACAATTAGCATGTTTTAGTACAAAAAACTGATTTAAAACCAAAAACATTTTTTGGAACAATTTTCACATGTAGTATCTGAGGATTTTTGAATAGCCTGTAAATGTATAGTTTAGATATTGTGAATTTATTCCTGTGAGTAAAAATAGCTGAAAAACAATTTGCATGTATTGAAAGGAATCCTTTCATCATGGATTTGTATAATGTTTCCATGGACAATATGTGGCATGCAATAAAGTGACTGTTGACAAAAGTGACCTTTTAGTACTTGTCAGATTCACAATGGTATCTTTTAAATCTTTAGCTGAGTAAAACAATCAGAAGATATTTTTATTTTTCTGTCAACTAGTTCAAGTCATTTATATAGAGAAACCACATTTAAAAATTATCTATTTCAGAGAGAGAGAAAAAAACTAAGATGACCAATCAGTTTGTTAAGTAAAGGTTTTTGAAAAAAGGGTCGCTTTAAATTACAGGAAGTCTTAGCCTAGATTCAAGATTTTCTGAGTTTGTTCGCTACCAAAGATTATTAGAGTTTGCCTAAGTTGAGATATTTTCTGGTTTGTTTTCCTTCTGAGCTCATTGTAGATTAAAGGGACGGTTCCTAAGTTTAGAGGAGGGTCCAAATCTTATAATTGGTTTCTACAAAACTGCCTGACCCCATTCCTGAAAACGGGATTCTTATACTGGGTTTCATTACAATACTCTGTCTTAAGTTCCTGGCTCTGGTTTATATCTTTAGGTTGGCTGTAGGGTGTGACGATATTGTTCACATATTTCAAAGGGTGGCAATTTCCCAATTGTGCAATTTTCCAAAGGTTATATGTTGGGCCTTCTGAGGTGCCGCAGGATGCATTGGAAAAAGAGTACTGCGGCTAGGATGGGCTAGGGGTCCGAGTACTGCGGCTAGGACAGATTTGGGAAATCGCTGTTTGTGATATTGCACAGTTGGGAAGTATCTACATTGCAAAATACCCTTAGGAAGCTACCGCTTGGGAAAGAGCCTTAACCCTAAACAGGTTGAGGGGGCGTTTGACGTCCCCCCCCTGTAGCTTTTTGTCCTAGCACTCTCATTTTTGACACTATCACTGTGTGAAATTTTGTGACTTTTAATGGATAGTAATTTAAAGGATAAAAAAAATATTTTTTTAATTTATAGGGTAGGTTACAGGGTAGAAAAAAAGTCCAGTCTGTGAAAAAAAATTTAAAATAGCCCATTCTTCTTTGAGACTAAAACTACAGAGCTAAAAACTTTATTTTTTAAAAGTCCTTAAAAACTACATGTAGAAAAATGCGTCACACTTTGATATTTGTTTGAAACAAAATTTTTTTTCTTCATTTTTTGACCCTTTTTTGGCTTTTTTTCCGCCCTCCCTAGCACCCAAACTATCGGTCTAATTTGTTTTCTTTGAGCTGGCCATGACAAATTGTGCTATTAAAATGCATTTCAACCCTATACCTATTATCTAAGGCCTTTTCTAGGGGCGGCGACAAACGCCCCCCCCCCCAGGCTATACATAGATTCAGACCCCCGGGCCTTTATAGGGTTATGGAAAGTTTCTAACATCTTTCAACGTACACACATAATCCTATAATTATTTAAAACTTTGCGCAATTTTTTCGAAATTTCGTGGTCACTTTTTTATATGAAGAAAAATATTTCAGGTAAACACTTGTTAAGCAGATACGCAGATAGGTAAAAATGTGCGTTTCCGATTTTGTATCAATAAGAAAATAAAAATTTTACACATTATGATTACGTACAGTATTTTTACACTTTTAAACCTCTCAAGTCTTCTATATAAGGTTTACAATTTTTAACCTAGGGCAGGGCTGAAAAATGCTTAAAAATTAATTATGCAGATTTAAAACAGGACATTAAAAATGAAAAGAATCTTTATGTACAGAGAGCGTTCCATATCATATTGGATTATCTCTAATTGCTTTAACGCCAAAATATACAGATATTCTCTGAATGCAAATTTTTATAATTTCCAATTGTACAATTTAATAAGATAATTCATTCTTTAAAAATTTTTGCATTTTTCCAGAAAATCGCAATTCAGAGTTATAAACAATCCAATTTGACGAGGGACACCCTGTAAGCATATATTTAAATTCTGCAGGATATGAATAGAATAACAATAAAATCAATTTCCAAGAATGACATGAATATTTTTGGTGTCATTTCTAGCTTTGTTCTCTTTATAGCTTTCCGGATTATTTTATTCAGTTTTCCATATTTCCAAACAGAAATATTTTAAAGCAGACATTTTCACTGTTAAAGATAAAACTGTAAATTTATAAAGGAGTATTTTTTGTTGTATATTCAAAATTTTAACATCTCTGAGACAATTAAAAAGTTAATTTTCCAGTAGAAAAAATGTAATGTTTTGACTATTTTTGAGTTTTCTAATTGTAAATTTTTACTTTAAAATTCTGCTGCTTTACTTTAGAAAAACCTTTTTGTTTCAAAAATATTTTAAAATGAGAAAAACTTGCTTTTAGATAAAATAATATTTTCATTAAGTATCTTTTTTCAATTTTTCATATAATTTTCAGAAACTCTCTCTTTCCGCAAAAACATTTTGATGAAAATTAGAATATTGCTTGTTGATGAACCCAGATAACATCATCCCAATACTTGGCTGTTTTCAGGCTGAAATATAATTATATTGCTTGAAAACTATTGTCTCGGCGTTTCAAACATTTTCCCAAATAATTAAGCTTTGCTCCAGTAAGAACCAGAAAACTCTGGAATAGGAAGTTAACGAACAAGAGATACAGCAATTGTGCAGTGTAATCAGACTCATTTCACTTGAGAAATGTTTCAATGACTTACTTATAAAGCTTTTTGCTTTGTAACAACATCAAATGCAGTTAAGTATCCTTCTACAGTTTGCTGGTTATCACTTAAATGGTTTTTTTTTTGAAATTCATATGTCAACTTAAATTATGTTCAAATGCTGTTGTTAAAGGGACTGTGAGCGTAATTTCAAACGACCTTTTATACAAAGATGGAAATGCCAGATTTTCAACGGTACCCTTGAAACCTTAACCTAATCACAAATGGGGAAGATATCGTAGTTTTTCTGACTCGAAAAGTGTTTAGTTCTGACATTTTCTACATGTATTCGATTATCAGCAAAAAAAATGTGAAGGTCAATTTTCCAAAAAAAAAACTGCAAATAAATCAACTCTTTAAAGAATCAAAAAAAAAATCTAGTTAATACATGATCAGACAAATGTTTCAAGGGTGCCGTTGTAAAGCGGGCATTGCCATCTGTTCATTCAGGGTCAATTGAAATTACGCTTACAGTCCCTTTAAGAATCCGACTTTTTATTTTACAACATGGGCAGAAAATATTTCATGGATAAAAAAATTTGAATTTGCATTTTCCTACCTGACTCTTCTTAGATTCATCCCAACCGGAAAATATCCTGCTTGAAGAAAGGCCTTAAAATTAATTTAAACTATTAAATTATTAGTTCATTTTTGTAAAGTTAATAGTTTTTGTAAGCAAAGTCCACCGCTTCATCTTTAAGTCCTTTACGAATACAGGGATTGCCACAAAGAATGAGACTGTAGAGACGACTTGAAACTCTTCAAATATAAGTCTTGTGCCTTAAATGTGGCTTTTTTTAGAAAGAAAGAATTTTATATATAATTGCAGGTGATCATAGATATAAGGAAACAGTGTCCGAATTTAATGAATCTAAGCCGCGTCTCAAAACCACCAAAAACCGGTTTTAATTGAGCGCCGGCTTAAATCTTGAAAAATTGAATACAATTTTAAGAGAACCCAACCATATTTGAGCCGCGGCTTAAATTAAAGTCGTGGCTCAAATTCTTTAATTTCGGCCTCAGACAGTGTAAATTCCGTGCATCGTCTCTGAAGTTTTATCCTTTGTGGGTAACCCAGAGTGATTTATAACAATAAATATTATAATTCCGACTTATTTCCGAAATGTTTTATACTCGTGCACAATCTAAAAACGAATATCGTTTTAAAAATTGTTTTCTATGAAAAGTTTAAGTTTTGAGGGAAAAGGTTTATCTTCAAAAACGAGCCCCCTCTACACCCCCCACCCCCCCAGTTGGTCGACTTTTGTAGAAAAAACTTTGTATCCTGCGCTAGTATAATATAAAGTTGGTTTGTTTGTCTATGTCCAATCATAACTCAGGAACCCCTTAAATTTTGATTAGGTAATTTGGAAGACTTGGAATGTTCTTAGCTGGGTTTATAGTTTATAGGGAAAGTACAGTTTCCAGGTAAAGCTGGGTTTACAAGCGTGTAATTTATATTTATAGTACCTTCACAAGTTGTTTAAGATTTGGGCAAAGTCCTTCTCTGTTTCTTCTTATAATCACCCACTCCATCATAATGTATGGCACGTATTTCGTCTAAAAAACAAAATTTTAATTTGTTTAGAAAAATTATATTTTCAATTTAAAAAAATGATTTTACCTTCTCGGGTCTCTCTAGAAATGGAAGTAGAGCCTAAATATTTCATTTAATAATAATATTTTATTGACAAATTTTTTTTCAAAAAAGGTTTACCTTACATTCGTGACCCTCTATATCTATTTTAATTATTAGAATTTCTGTTGTTATCGTCTCCAAAATATCCTAAAAAATATAGGTTTTTTGGCGAATGTAAAGATAAAGTATGAAAATTTTTTATTTTTATTTTTTATTTTTAAAAAGCTCAATCGAAGATTTCAGTAAAAAACTTTTCTATATTTTATGTATAATTCCAATATTTTTCATATGCATTACTTTTTAAAAATGTAATTAACAAATGAAAAAGTAAGAAGGATTAGAATTAAAAAACGATTTTAAACCATATACCTTAAATACGGCTAAATAATGATTATTTAAGAAAATACTCAACTTTTAAATTTGCTTAAAAAATAAACTTAATTATCACACAATTTAACAAAATTCAGAGACCTGATTTTTCTGATTGATTTTGATCTACGAATAGAATTTCATAATTGTTCCGTTTTACATATCATTACACAATCTATATATTGAAGCATGCAAAACCAAATAAAAAAGATAAAAAAATGTGTAATACTAAAAGATAGAGTTTATTATTAATTTATTAATTGCTCTATGAGCTTATCTTTGTCTGATAAAGTATAAATCCTATTGAATATCAATATTTCTAAGTTCAAAACTTATTTTATTGAAAACTGTGGTATCTATACAAATATGGCTCACTTCTACTGCTGGAACACAAATCCGAGTTATCAGATTTAACTTTTAAACCTAGAAAAACCACAATATCCTCCGTATTATTGATCAGATAAAAGTATACCATCAAGCATTGCTATATTTGCATGGAGGGTCACTTGAAATTACGCTTATAGTCCCTTGAAAAATATACCTCAAGATTTACAGGATGAACAGGAGATCCTATTTCTTCAACCTAAAAACGAATTAAAGGGAGTGTGCTTGAATGCATATGTGTATATGTGCAAAACCAATATTTAGCGCGTAATATTTCACTCCCAAAATACAGGTTTACTAATGATGTATAAGACTATAAAGACGACCTAACATTAATTCTTAATTCTGTCGAACTAAAGCTTTTAATTTGGTTTTTGCCAAACAATGTAAAAATCATAAAGATGTAGAAAAAATACTAATTAAAATTCGTCTCTGAAGTCTCATCATTTGTGGGTATCCCTGTATATAATCTAAAATTTTTGTCTATTTTATTTCATTTGTGTTTAGATTTTATGGGATTTCGGGGCGCAAAGTATCTTGAATTTCAAATTTAAACAAAATGGTGGTTTACCGGAAGCTTGTCAGCTGATTCCTTGTTTACGAAGAAAATCCGACCTAAACATTATTTAAATATTTATTTAAAAACATATTTACAGAATTGGAGATTATTTGAACAATTAGATAATAAATATTAAATCTAAAAAACAGAGATTACAACTTTATATTTATATAATAAAGCAAGACATTCGTATATTTGTTGCGTATTGCCGTATTGCCGGCTGGACCGTTTTGGCTGAATTTTTTTGTGGACACTCATGGGTGGCCTGGGGGTGTTATAGACTAAATATTTGAAAAAACGGCTGGACCAAATGGGCTGAAATTTGTGTGGACAGTAATGGGTGCCCCCCCCCCCCCGGCCACCCATGTGTTATAGGCTAAAAATTTAAGAATTAAGTTTTTCTCAAATTTTTATTTTTTCCATTTTTTCCAATTTTTTTTCAGCTGGTATTATAATAAAACAAGACATTCATATTTATGTTGTTTATAGCCGGCCAAACACGGCTGAAATAAATGGGCTGACAGTTTTTGTGGACACTCATGGGTGGTCGGGGGTGTTAAAGGCTAAAAAATAATCTAAAATATTTTTTTCTACATTTTTTCCCACGGGCAACGCCGGGTCCTTCAGCTTGTATATAATTAAAACGCAACAAATCGTCAACGCTACAAGGTCAATAATGTTTACCAGAACCACTGCTAATCATGTTATATACAAAACAAATAAAGCTGTGAGTAGAAGTAATAAAACTTCAAATTATATCAAAAACAGTAATATCGTTTGTATGTATATGTTACCAATACCATAAAATTACCATGTCACGCGAACAAAAATCATCAACAAAAATAATATTTTTTCTTTCATTCCTCACCTTGGTTAGTTGGCTCCCTGAACCAGGGGTAAAGGGGTTCTGTGCCATTGCTAAAAAATAAAAACATTCATATAAAATTATTGAGATGTCTAAACTTCTAAAGGACTGTAAGCGTGATTTCCAGTGACCAGCTCCTTTCAAAGATGGTAATGCCCGATTTACAACGGTACCCTTGAAACTTAATTATTTGATTAAATATGTGGATTCTGATTATAACTCCATTGTTACGTAGAAACAAATAGATTATCAAGTACAATATGGTAGCAACAGAGAAATAAACGATTCACGACGTCACAAGTGTCAAATTTATAACAAGGAAAACAAAACTTTCTCACATTAGGTGACATGTCTCCAAGATCAAATAAAAAAACGTAAAAACAGAAAAAAAAGAACACGCAAAATTGCACTTATTTTACTGTGAGATAAGCACTTTATTCTAAAATCATCACTATTATTAATAATTTTGTCGAACACAAAACTGAATTGACACTTATGACGTCAGAATACAGCTGTATTGAGAGTGTACAAAGTCTACGTGGCCATCTATTGTACTAGAATCTAAAAAATAAAAAGTTTTAAAAAACATGGAAATCTAAAATAAACTTTATTAGACAAAGCTTTTCAAGGGAGTGTTCGCGTAAAATGACAGGGGGTATAGGCTTACGGCGAAAAATAATCGCTTTTGATATCTGCTAATCTTACTTATATCTGTTGCGTCTATAAGGAGAAAATTGTTAAAAATGACTTGTACAGATACAACAGAACGTAGAATCCATTCCATACAAATTGAGAAAGTTGCAACATATAACTCGGATCGTAAAAAAAATTTATTTAATATCAAACAAATCATTTAGACCTATAGTCATCGATTATTTTTCGACGCATTCATATACAGTAATATTTCATAATATTTTGTATTTGCTTTGAATACAATTCACTTAAATGCCAATTTGTTTGTCCGCCAAGGGGCTCTGCTCTCGATGCTCATAATGATTCCACGTGGTAGACACACCTAGCGAAAAATTGTTTTTTTTCAAGTGATTGTGTATATAACAAATAAGAAATATTATGAAAATATCAACTGTATAAGAATGTTTCGAAAAATAATCGATGACTATAGGTTTTAAAATTTCAATGATTTGTTCGTTATAAAATTGATTTTTTACGATCCAAGTCATATATATTGCAACTTTCTCGATTTGTATGGACGCTACGTTATTCCCTAAGAGTCGTTTTTAACAATTTTCTCCTTTAGACACAATAGATAGAAGTAAAATTAGTAGTGATCAAAAGCGATTATTTTTCGTCGTAAGTCTATACACCCTTTCATTTTCCGCGAACACTCTCGATCTTTAAGTTGTTTCGAAATTGTCATGTAGAACGGGACACCCTTTAAAATTTAATATATTTCTACCTGACAGTGTTTTGAATGTAGGTTACATATTTCTGGGATCCAAGTAACGAGGTACTCAACCTGTAAAATGTTGAATTTGAAGGGAGTGTTTGCGAAAAATGAATGGGGGTATAGGCTTACGGTGAAAAATAAGCGCTTTTGAGCGCTACAAATCTTACTTCTATCTGTTGCGTCTATAAGGAAAAAATTGTGAAAACAACTCATGCTGAAGAACGTAGCATCCATAAAAATTCAGAAGGTTGCAACATTCAACTCGAATAATAAAATAATCAATTTAATTCCAAACAAATCATTCAGATATTACAAACAATAGTCATCGATTTTTTTTCGGCGCTTTGTATATTGTTAAAATATCATAATATTTTTAATTCTGTTATTTTAATAATATTTCGCTGGCGCTGGATTTTCGAACATTCCTGGAAAATATGAAAATGTCGTCTTCATTGTCAAAAATCCTCGAAACAACAGGAATAAATGTTTTCAGATCATAAGAAATAAAAAAAACATTATGAAAAATCAACTATATATAAGAATGCGTCGAAAAATCATTGATGACTATTGTTTGTAATATATGAATGATTGGTTTAGAATTAAATTGATTTTTTACGATCCGAGTTCAATGTTGCAACTTTCTAAATTTGTATGGACTCTCTACGTTCTTCGGCATGAGTCGTTTTTAACAATTTTCTCCTTACAGACGCAACAGATAGACATAAGATTAGTAGCAATCAAAAGCGCTTATTTTTCGCCGTAAGTCTTTACCCCCTTTCATTTTTCGCGAACACTCCCTTTAAAATATCTTAGAGATAGTTTGCGTAAATATTCGGATAAAAATACGATTCAACAGATTCTTTTGTCAAAAGCATCAGCTGAAAAACACATAAAATGAAAATCAATGTGTGGACTGTGTAGTGTATGTGTGTGTAAAGTGTACACATTTTTAATAAAACTGCCCAAGTTTTCAAAACTTTCATAAGATAAGGTTTGCTTTTATCAAACTTTTATAAAATATTTTTATACAAAAAACATTTGAAAAGGATCCAAAAAAGAAAGCTATAACACGCTGTTTTTTAATTGTTTTTTGTTTGTTTTTTGCCTAAATTTTATGTCAAGGTCCAAATTTTGTATAATGTAAGAGAAAAACATGTTTATAATATAAACAATTTTGCAAACAATGTCTTTTTTATACTATGCCAAATTTGGAGTCTGAAAGAAAATATCGGCAGAAAACGAACCAAACAGGAATTAACTCAATGCACATCACCACACATACATTTATCTAATTAATGTTTATATTATGTCTTCATGATATTTTCTTTTTATTTGATATGACATTCTCATCAAGCTCAATACAAATTGTGTTTTTCTAAGAATGAAATTGAAGAAACAGGCGAAATATCCTTCAAACCAGAAGCTTTTATAATAACATGAAAGGAACTGAGCTTTTGCCACACACTTAAATTTGCTAATCCCTATATGTGTGCAACCTGAAGGAATATCCCTAGGATATTTCAAACTTAGATTATTTGATCTAACAAAATTCATAGTTTGAAATGTGAAAGGTCTACGACATCGATATAAAAAGATAGAAAGATTTAAAAATCAGAACTTTTTGTCAAAAACGCAATTTCTTTTCTCCGCATACAGTTTCTTTTTCTCCACAAACAGTTTCTTTTCTCCACAAACAGTTTCTTTTCTTCAAAAACAGTTTCTTTTCTCCACAAACAGTTTTTTTCTTCACAAACAGTTTCTTTTTCTCCACAAACAGTTTCTTTTCTCCACAAAAAGTTTCTTTTCTCCACAAACAGTTTCTTTTCTCCAAAAAACAGTTTTTTCTTCAAAAACAGTTTCTTTTCTTCGCAAACAGTTTATTTTCTCCACAAACAGTTTTTTTCTTCACAAACAGTTTCATTTTCTCCACAAACAGTTTCTTTTCTCCACAAAAAGTTTCTTTTCTCCACAAACAGTTTCTTTTCTCCACAAACAGTTTTTTCTTCAAAAACAGTTTCTTTTCTTCGCAAACAGTTTTTTTTTCTTCGCAAACAGTTTTTTTTTCTTCACAAACAGTTTCTTTTCTCCACAAATATTTTTGTCTCCACAAACAGTTTTTTGTTTCTCCACAAGCAGTTTCTTTTCTCCACAAACAGTTTTTTTTCTCCACATTATGCATACATGGTCGTCGTTCACATAGGTTCCCACTGTAAACCGCGTTCAAATAGGTTCCCACTGTAAACTCCGTTCACATAGGTTCCAACTGTAAACTCCGTTCACATAGGTTCCCACTGTAAACCGCGTTCACATAGGTTCCCACTGTAAACTCCGTTCACATAGGTTCCCACTGCAAACTCCGTTCTCATAGGTTCCCACTGTAACCTCCGTTCACATATGTTCCCACTGTAAACTCCGTCTCATAGGTTCCCACTGTAAACTCCTCTCACATAGGTTTCCACTGTAAACTCCGGCCGGTCATTTCAAGTACCGGGCCTATAATTGCAAAGAGCTTATAGAGCACGCCATATCAAGAATGTAAGGAATTATCAAAAACAATGTCATTGCATAGATTGAATATACATAGATTAGAAGGTAGTTAATAATTTTGAGGTCATAAGAATGATTGCATAACAGAATCATTATATATTGTACGCTTGGCATTTTATCCTCTGGAGTCTCTGGAGTGTTTCTGATTAAATACTTTGTTGATGCGTGATAACAATGTATTCTGGTGATTGAAACAAGTTAATCAATGCAGAAAATAAAGCAAAGGTAGGAAAGGTTGGTTGGTTGGTCATCAAATACAACATTGAATTCTACATGCTTAATAAGTGCCTTAACACCTACCAAACAATTTAACTTTAATGGTCAACTAGACTCAGATATAGACAGTCTGTGTCAAAATGTTTATTTTCTTCAGATGGCAAGGGAGCAAAGGGAATAATATAGAAAGATCTCAATCAGAGATAAGAGTACAGAGATCTATGAAAGGCTAGAATCTGCGATATTTCTACAACGAGTTCCAAAGTGTACAAATGGAGTACACGACCAATAAGCAGATGTTTATATTCAGGAATATTTAAGGATTCTTTTGAAAAACCTTCAAAAATTGACTAAATTCATAAATTATATATTTTCTGTTAAAAGTCAAAGTAATGCTTTAAAAATAGTAAAAGCAAACCCTGAATGAGTATTATATGCAAAAAGTGGTGGTTAGATGGCAGTCAAAGACCTTTTGTAAGAATATAGCATGTCGTGCCGGTACGGCTAAAGGCCTACTTAACCCATCCTGTGAAAGCTGTCATAAGCAGTCCGTATATATCTAAATCTCTTAATATACTAACAATTGGTAAAGTTATTAGGCAGAATGCCTTCATATCTATTTATATCTAATCTATGTCTTAATGTTTTATAAATATTTGACCTTTATTTCACCTTGAATAAGCATGATTGTGCAGAAACGGATCAACAGAGACAACACTGAAAACAGAAATATTATTTTTAGTAAGATTTAGTATTTATGTTTTTATTTGTTTTCGTTAGTTAGTTATTTATGGAAAGCTAAATAGTGAAACTCAGAAAAGTTTTTTAAAAAGTGTTTATATCACAAAGATCTCAGCTGCAATGAAAAGATTAAATACATTTTCTATACTGGCTCGACTTTGAAGTGTTGCATCGCTTTGGTCTTTTATGTTTCTTGCTTACTAACTCAATTATATTTTTGGAAACCCTAGACATATACATTTTAAAACTATTAAGCACTTGTTTTCAGCTTAAGTTTTCAAGAAGTAGTTAGCAAAATTTTCATCGATTTTTGCGAGAAAACTTGCCATCTTTAGATCTATTTGAGATTATATGAGAAATCTAAATTTTTATAAGAAGTTTTCTGAGGGGTTTTCAATATCTCTGAGAGATTTTTAATTTTGAAAACTTATTTTCAATTGTGGTTTCTCTACACAAGTGACTTGCGCATTTCTACTTATAGAAAACTGACAAAATCTTCCACAAAATTGATCAGCTAAATGTTTCAAAGGTACCGTTGTGAATAAGGCATTGCCATCTTTGCATGGAGGGTCACTTGAAATTACGCTTACAGTCCCTTTAAGACAGGACATCTTATCTATTGACTCTGGATTTGTAAACATAGTTGTAATTGTATGGGGTAACAATTTAATTTCAGAAAATTGTAAATTCATCTTAAATAAATGCAAATTGGAGCTTCCATAAGAATATTTGTGAGAGCTAAAGTTTATACAATTTTCAAACTTTAAAAACTGAAATAAATTAGGTTAAATTATTATATATAAATAAATAGATTAGGTTAAATATAGAACTAAAGTTTACTGTTAAATGGAATATCAACGTTGTTCTAGACCTTTAGAAATAGGCCACTGGATGTGTATATTTGTCGCATTTGTGAAGAAAAAAACTGTTTAAACAGTTTTTTGTAAGTCATATACTTATATTTTACGGGAACAAATCCAAATAAACTTCAAGTCAGTTTAGTTATTTAAAGCGTGGCTTTTTAACCCTTTCTAAGTTTAAAAAGCTCTAGAAAAATGTTTAATCATGGCAAGTATTTTTATTCAATTTTTTACATTTTTTCAACAAGATTTTTTAATTCAGAGTTTTTATCAATGATTCTACCCCCGACCTATATTATAAAAAAAGAGCCGGACAGATTTAAGGATTCGGTCCATGTCCTTGAGAACTGTAAATTATCCTAGAGAACTGTAACTTATCCTAGAGAACTGTAACTTATCCTAGAAAACTGTAACTTTCGATTCCAATATGGCCTTTTCAACATTATTTTTTTCTACTTTTCTCTTTTTACTCATTTTTTGGCGTATATGTTTTCTAACCGAAAAAGTATAAAATGACAATTTTCTACGTTTACAGATTGTTGAATTATAAACAAACACATGATTGAATTCAAATTAAAGAAACCGAATGGATCTTGCCCATGGTCATTCCGGGGTGAACATGCAGGATAGGATACTCTCTTTACCTGTAATTGAATGCTGCTGCAGCAACACTGAAGGAACCAAGATTAGAACCAAGGTCTTAATCAAAAAAATCATTATGGATTATCTATCTCTCTATATAAATAAACTAGCATGGGAACCCAGCAATGCCAAGGTTACTATATTTACCCCCACTTGAACGATTTTACCGGGAAACTAAATTTTCACTATTGAAGTCTACCCACACTATAGTATGAGTAGAAGTAAATATTTCCATTTACTGATAGCGCCGATTGAGTAATTCAAAACTCTAATTGGATAATGAGATAGATAGAAAAATAGATGTTACCGCCATACATTTTCTATTGGTTCAGAATAGACTACAAACACATGACTGAACCCTGATTGGATCAGGTGTTAATGGACTCGGCATACAAAAGTGCCCACTCAACTTAGAATCTCAAAACCAAGAATATTCCCGTGGGTCTCCCGAGTTCCCCAATAAAAATTTGAGGCTAATTAGTCGAGGGGTTCCTGAGTTAGGATCGGACAAACAAACTGACAAACAGAGATTACAACTTTATATATAAATACAGGGTGTTTCTTGTTTTATAAATATGTAAATATTTTATAAAAATCATCCTTGTATAAAAATTGCTAATTCGATGACAAACAGAAATAAAAGGTTGAATTGATAATTGTACCTAGAAGAGTTCCATTTGGATAATTAGCAAGTAGATCCATCATTACTGTCACTGCAGCTCCGTGGAACATTCCTAATTCATGAACCTTATAATCCTAATTCTTATAAAATATCTTATAAAACTGAAATCATTGTGTACTTTATCAATCATTATAAATTGTGTCCCGAGCTATAGCAATCTAAAAAAGACTCATAATATATATATATATATATAAATAACTTTTAAAAACTTTCCTGAAACATCCCTAGACATCAAAACTTTAAATTAAAACAACCCTAATCATCTAAACTTTATATTAAAACATTACTAGCCATCAACACTGTATGAAACTTTATTAAAACATACCCAGCCATCAAAACTTAATAAAACTATATTATAAAAAATATTTAACCATCAAAACTTTATAAAACTTTTTATTTTACATTTTTAACTATCAAAACTTAATAAAACCATATTATAAAACATACCTAACCATCAAACCTTGATAAAACTGTATTATAAAGCATACCTAACCATCAAAACTTTATAAAACTTTTTATTTTACAAATCTAACTATCAAAACTTAATAAAACTTTAACATAAAACATACCTAACCATTAAAACTTAATAAATTGTTGAACATTTTTTATAGAAATAATCAAAGGTTAAGGGGATCGATTATGTTTATAATAGGTTAAGCCAGACCATTAATTTAAACTGAGATGATACGTTGTGTAATGTGTAATGATTATTGTCGCCTATTTTTACATAATTTTGTAATTTTTTTCTTTTGGAAAACTAAATATTCGAAAAATTTAAACTACATCATTCATACATGAAAAATTATCTTTGTGTATGAATACACCTTTATATCAAAATGCATATAATATATAAAAATAAAATAAAACTGAAGCCTTGAAGGCACAGTCACAATAAATAGTTTTAATGGTTAATGATGTTTTGTATAAAGTTTTTTATATAGTTATGATGAATATGGATATTAGGGATGTTTTAATATAAAGTTTTATAAAGTTTTATAAAGTTTTATGGTTATGGATATGTTAATCTAAAGTTTTATAAAGTTTTGATGCCTATGGATGTTTAATATAAAGTTTTTATGAAGTTTTGATGTTAAGTGATGTTTTATTATAAAGTTTTTAAAATATTTGTTGGAAAAAAATCTGGTGTTTCAAATATTTTGGAAAATTGATCGTTCAAGAAAAAAACATCGTATTTTAAAGTTTGTTATAACAATTTTAAATTGTTCATTCATGTTTTTTCGTTCGTTTTAATAAGCAATATTTTTTTCCTTTTTCTGAACGATCCATTTTGTTCTTCCATATTTCGTTTTTTTCCTAGAAAAATTTTGTTCGTTCAAAGAAACTGTGCCCATCTCTAAATTTGAAGCAAGCCTGATAATCAATCACAAAACTTTGCAGTAATAAAAATTCTGTAACTATTATGCATCTTATTTTAAATAAGTTCTATTTCATGACTTGAGTGACTTGTAGACTTTCTAATTCACAAATTGTGAATTTCTGAATCAAAATATATTTACCTGCGTTAAGGACAATACATGGATTTGAGGTTCGAAATGATACAAATTTTGAATAAATTGCAAAAATATTAAGATACCAAGCATGATAATTTTCCCGAAAACCATACTTGCAAGTTACAAACTTTGGTGTAATGTGTATTCGATTGTATTTCTCTACCAGCTCTACCAGTAATACAAACTTTAATGCCGTTTTTCCTTGCCTTTTAGTTGAATATCATTAAAGGATTTAATGTTTGAGACTATTTTTAGATAGAGCCATTACCTTTTCTGAGTATCTCATTCGAAATCAACTAAAATTATAAAGATTTTGATATTTTGATATAGGAGACTCCATAACTGTTCTAGTTGTTTAGTTCTTTCTTTTTGCAATATTCACTACAGGGCGAAAAAGTCACTTTATCACCCTACAACAGGGTGAAATTAAGTAAGTTTATCGACCTGCTATTTAATAAGAAGAGTAAAATTAATTGTATACAACTATATATTTTATTGTAATGGGTATCATGCGGGCGAAAAATTTGTTAGCACTTAATAATACCCATTGCAATAACATAATTATAGATAAAAAGAGTCCGAAACATTAAGAACAATTGTAAAACTACACGATCCTTAAATTTACTATATTATAAAGCTCTTAAAAATAGAAATTAAAACTTGTGTCAATTTCAGTTATTTTCCACTTTTTTATCAGATTGATCGGGCTATTTTTGTATGGAGGGTGTCACTAAACTTTACGCTTACTATCTCTTTAAGAATACGGAAATTTTAATTGTACCTCCATATGTTGAACCCCCNCTGAAATAAACGTATTTATATACCCTGCCCCTGATTAATGTTAATAAATATTACCTCGTTATGTTTGATGCATAAGATAAAATCCACTGCTCTTGAGGTTATCCTAGGGGTTCTGAAACATTAACACAAGGTTACCCATATAGCAGGAGATTTCCTAGATGACTTTATTAAGTTTATGAAGACTTTTTTCTTGAAATTTTTGTTCTTTTTCATCTTAAGCATGCTATTGTTTGCCGAATAGAATTTAAAGACTTTATTTAAGGCAAAAGACCTAACTCAACCTTTAGATCGTCATATACAGGGTGTCCCAAAAAACATGAGAATTCATTGACGAATTGGATATCGTCTTTGTTATGAATTAGCATTGTAATACCTTATAATATTATTATGTCTGCTAGAGTTTATTTTATGAAAAGGGTAAACGCCTGCAAAGATGTCTCTATAATATGTCTCCGCAAGATGAACAGTGAAGACGGACAAGTTTACTCTGTGTGTATACTGCAATTTTCTTTTTTTACTAAATACAACCGTATGCAGTTTAAACATAAACAAACAAAATGTGACCATAGCGCATACGAAACTCTTATAATAAGTTTTAATCTCATTCTTTCAAGATTTATAACTCAGTATTTGTAATTATATGTCCGACCATAACTCAGTATTATTGACAAATTTTAAACTGGGGAAACTCTTCAGAGATAAAAAAGATCTTTCTGTTGTCTCTCAACTATCATGTTTATTGTGAAACATTGTATCTAAAATACCTGATAAGAGATGCCATATGGCTTTTTTATCCGTCCGTTCATCGTTCATTAACAACCTGTTTTGTTAATGAACGATGTTTTCAGGCGTTAAAAAAAAAATAGTTCATTTTCAGAATTCTTTTTCATTTTCTATCTATTCTGTGAAGCTGAACGATCGATCAATTAAATCCTTTGACAGTGAGATCATTCGTTTAAGGAGAAAATAAACAATTTTTTTCAAGTTTGTTCCAACGATCATTTAGAAATTGTTCTATAGCGATCCATAAAATGCAAACGATCGTCAATGATTTTAAATCGTTCGTTTTGTTTTCTTTCGTTTTTTAATTTCTTTAAACGATCCAATTTTTTTCGTTTATTCTTCGTACATTTTTCTGAACGACGACATCGTTGACCGTTCAAGAAATATTTTGTTCATTATGAAAAATTTAGTTTGTTCGTAAACATGAAGCCCATCTCTTTACCTGATACAGGAGTGTGGGAATACAATGGGTAGATCTTCATCTGTTTTTTTTTAATAATAAGCGATGTTATTATTTAATAATAAGCGATGTTATTTAATAATAAGCGATGTTTTTTTCTTCTTATAAAAAGTCAAAATTCCAAATAGTAATTGCATGAACATCGTACAGTATACAATGGGTGTAACACATAATATTTGTATTATAATTCGTACATAGCTTAGAATTTGCGATTTTTGAGACTTGTAACAAAAATTATGAAAATGTTTAGGGCCAATATAAACATTTTGATGCAGAAAATACAGAGTTTGTGAGTATTCTGTACATATTTTGGAGTTAAAGCTTGGGGATAATCTAATATGAAATGGGACCCTCTTTAATGCAAACAAGAGCATATATTCTAATCCCCAGAGATTAAACTTAATCTATTTGAAAATTAGTATTATGTCTAGCTTCTCTGAAATTCTGAAAATCGGATAAATCGACAGAAATACTTTGAATTATTTTTAATTTTAAAAAAAGCTTGATTGATTTTTAGTAAATTTATGTTAACTTATTATTTTCCTTTTACAAAATGCACTCGTCTCATTGCTTTTTCTTTTCTCGGAGCTAAATCTGGAATCAAGAAACTCGACAGGGTTTCCAACAAAACTCTACAGTAGCAAGACGACTTGAATGTCGGCTTTGATCTTGGAATTTATTTGTGATATTTGGTCGTCAATCCACTTGAACATGTATGATCCTGGAGACAATTGCCACAAAACTTTCCTAGTCCTGGCAGTTCCAAAATGTGGTCTGCCTTACGTGCTGTCAATATTATCGGAGAGAAGAATTCTGTTCAGATTTTAAAACCAAAAATTGTCGAAATCTGAACAAAAATCTTCATATCTCGGGAAATGTTAAAAGCACAAAAAAGGCAGACCACATTTTGGAAATGCCAGGACTAGGGGTATTTTGTGATTATAATCTCAAGAATTTTACTTGCAAAATTAGTTTTACAAAAGAAATTCCGTAAATTATATCAAAAATCAAAGACGACGCTCAAGTTGTCTTGCTATTGACATGTTTCGTGGGACATATTGTTNAAATAGTTTAAATAACAAATTTCTTTTCGCAAAATTCACTGGTCGTCACTGTAGCCCCAGGTTATTTTAGCATTAAATAGAGTAAAATTTACCTGATTATATGTAGTTAGTATTAAAGAATTACTCTAAAAGAATTTACCTGATTTAGTAAATATTAGAGGATTCACTGTAAGAACTTACCTGGTTTAGTTACCATTACATAATACTCTATTAGAATTCACCTGGTTTAGTTACAATTACATAATACTCTATTAGAATTCACCTGGTTTAGTTACCATTACATAATACTCTGTTAGATTTCACCTGGTTTAGTTACCATTACATAATACTCTGTTAGAATTCAACTGGTTCAGTTACCATTAGTAAATGTACTGTGCAAATTCTCCTGGTTTAGTTACCATTACATAATACTCTGTTAGAATTCACCTGGGTTAGTTACCATTACATAATACTCTGTTAGAATTCACCTGGGTTAGTTACCATTACATAATACTCTGTTAGAATTCACCTGGGTTAGTTACCATTAGTAAATGCACTGTTAGAATACACTTGGTTTAGTTAACATTAGTAAATGCACTGTTAGAATTCACTTGGTTTAGTTAAAATTAGTAAATGCACTTTTTGATTTTACCTGGTTTAGTTATTATTAGATAAAACAATGTTAGAGTTTAGCTGGTTTAGTTAGCATTACAGAATACACTGTTAGAATTTACCTGGTTTAGTTACCATTAGAGAATTCACTGTTAGAGTTTAGCTGGTTTAGTTAGAATTAGTGAATACGCAGTTAGAATTTAACTGGTTTAATTAACATTAGAGAATACACTGATAGAATTCTCCTGGTTTAGTGAATAGACTGTTAGAATTCACCTGGTTTGGTTAGCATTAGTAAATGCACTGTTAGAATTCTCCTGGTTTAGAGAAATAGAGATTTAGAGAATACACTGTTAGCATTTACCTGGTTTAGTTACCATTATGAAATAAATTGTTTGAAATATGAATACTCCAGCACAAGCCTAATCCGCAAAGAATTAATCCATCATTAACTTCTAAAATTTTGGTCCAAAATAAAGCTAAACATGTAATTGCTAAATTTCTATTTTTTTATCCCTATATCTTTGTTACCTAGTGTATTGCAAGCTTTGTATTCTGTAATATGTAGATAAGAGTCCCAAATATCATAGGTTGTAAAGGAATTATTAAATTAGAGTTCGTGTTCATGGTTCCTTTTCATATGAGAAGAAAATCCGAAGAATTAATGTTTCAATAAATTACTGTTTAGAAACATTAAATTAGTTTTCAAAAAGTATAAAGGTCCCCTTAAGTTCAAGCCTTATGATATAACATTAAGAATTCTCTAATTAAATGTCGTCTTTTTAATGAAGATGGTTTATGTATACTCAGACATGCAAAAATTGGTCTCTAAAAGTTTTAGATTTTTGTTAAACTCCAAGAATAAATTTTATTAAAGAAGATGGGCGCGAAGCGCTTTAAAAGCCTGGTATTTACAAAGATTTAACTTATTAGGTGGTATATGCATCATACTTTCCTTCAGAAATGAACTCAGCCTACAATTCTGCTCTACACAGTTTTTTATCATTTTTTCTGAAAATTTAATAGTTATTGAATTATTTATTTTTAAGAAGTACCCTTGAAAAGACACATTCTAATTTATATATTTACTTGCTTGTCTGTTTGTTTGTTTGTATCCAATAAACGTCAAAACTGCTGAATCTATCGGGCACAAATTTTGTGCGGAACTTCACATGAGGCAATATTGAACGGATATGTGTTCACCAGGAAGGTCACCATGGTCTTGTCCTTGTTCTCTCTGTACTTGTTGTACAGCTCGTTTTTATCATCCCTAAGTAAGTGTGTACCCTTCTGAGAGAGAACAAAGTTGGCCGTCATCTCGGGTAAAGGGACCGGGAAACTAAGAGTTTACCGAATTTTCTTTTGAAAATTCTCGGATTTTTAAACAATTGTTGGAACATTTCCATGATTTGAAATTTTAGATTCATGAATTTTGTTGATAAGTTTTGAGTTTGATACGTTTTATAGTTTGATAAGTTTTTTAGTTGATAACTTTTGTTTTAATAAGTTATATTGTTAGATAAATTTTGTAGTTTGATAAGTTTTGTGATGATAAGTTTTGTAATGATAAGTTTTGTAGTTTGATAAGTTTTGTGATGATAAGTTTTGTAATGATAAGTTTTGTAGTTTGATACGTTTTGTGATGATAAGTTTTGTAATGATAAGTTTTGTAGTTTGATAAGTTTTGTAATGATAAGTTTTGTCGCTGATAAGATATGTTTTGATAAGTTTTGTGGTGATAAGTTTAGTGACGATATGTTTTGTATGGGCTCCTTAAGTTCAAGCCTTATGATATAACATTAAGAATTCTCTAATTAAATGTCGTCTTTTCAATAAAGATGGTTTATGTATGCTCTGACATGCAAAAATTGGTCTCTAAAAATTTCAGATTTTTGTAACAATGTTAAACTCCAAGAATAAATTTTATTAAAGAAGATGGGCGCGAAGCGCCTTAAAAGCCTGATATTTTATAAGATTCAACTTATTAAGTTTTATATGCATCATGCTTTCCTTCAGAAATGAACTCCGCCTACAATTCTGCTCTATACAGTTTTTTATCATTTTTTCTGAAAATTTAGTAACTAAGTATGAGATTGAATTATTTATTATTTAAAAATACACTTGAAAACACACATTCTAATCTATATACAGGGTGTCCCACGAAACATGACCGTTGATGAATAGTTTAGAATGTCGTCTTCCAAATACTGGATTCGATTTAAAGACTTTTAGCAGTTTAGTTCGGTAGAAAAATCTTTTACTCATATCTTAATCTAGGATTGATTTTAGTATAATGAAAGTGCCATAGGATGTTTATTATTATTTTCTTGGTATCAAATAACTTAACAAATTATGGAAGAAGACATTTTAAAATATTCAGCAACTGTCATATTTCGTGGGACACCCGGTATATACTTGCTTGTCTGTTTGTTAGTATCCAATAAACGTTAAACCGGCTGAACCGATCGGGCACAAATTTTGTTTGGGACTTCACATGTTCCTGCAGGGAAGGTTTATGGATATTCAAATTTTCAAAAATTTGTCTCTAACAAAATTCGATTTTTGAAAATTTTGAAAATCCGCGAAATTTTTTGTTGTTTTTGTTTAACAATGTATACAAAGAGAAAACGTTCACAATTAAAAAAGAAGATGGGCACAAAGCGCCCTAACAGCCTAGTAAATATAAAATATTCTATATTTATTACGTATAGAATAAAGTAAAATTAAGTATTACAATGCAAATTTTTATCAAAGACGATTTCGTATTTGTCTTTTAATTCCAATGTTANCGCAACTCCAGCAGACAAACACTTTTGCCAGACAATATTTTTTGAAATTCAAAACGTCGATTATTTCCATATGCAATCGCAAAAATTCTTATTTTTTCGAAACTATTTAAAAGAAATGCATCTTAATTGTAAAATCAAGCATTTATTAGTTAATTAAAAATTCTGAAGTGAAGATTTTGGCAATTAAAAATAAAAAAAAGACTAAAAATACTTATTTGACACCCCTGGCATAATATTTGTACTTATATCCTAAGTAAAAAGTTCTATAGAAGTACGAGACGACAGGTAAGGAAAATACAAAAATCTTACTGGGCGGATATAGAATTTTCTCCACTAGAATTATAAACCTACTGGGCGGATATAGAATTTTCTCCACTAGAATTATAAACCTACTGGGCGGATATAGAATTTTCTCCACTAGAATTATAAACCTACTGGGTGGATATGGAATTTTCTCCACTTGAATTATAAACCTACTGGGCGGATATAGAATTTTCTCCACTAGAATTATAAAATTACTGGGCGGATATCGAATTTTCTCCACTAGAATTATAAACCTACTGGGCGGATATCGAATTTTCTCCACTAGAATTATAAACCTACTGGGCGGATATCGAATTTTATCCACTAGAATTATAAACCTACTGGGTGGATATGGAATTTTCTCCACTTGAATTATAAACCTACTGGGCGGATATAGAATTTTCTCCACTAGAATTATAAAATTACTGGGCGGATATCGAATTTTCTCCACTAGAATTATAAACCTACTGGGCGGATAT